AATGAATAAAATTAAAAACCATAAACATTCATGCTAGGGTATCATCCTAACCCTAAAAAAAAGTTTAGTTACTCATAAAATACGAAAACCTAATTAAAATTCTGAAAAACATGAAAAACTTAGGAAAGATGGTCGTCGGCTGCTGCTCTTCTTTTTACTCCTAGCTGCGACCTCTCCTCTCTGCTCCTTAAACTCTCTCCAAAAACACGTTCCCAAAACCCTCTTTGTATAATAGACAAGTCCTAACATGAGTAGGTCCTGTGGTATCCTTTCTGTTGCATGACTGGTGATGTGGCAAGTAAACTTCCGATATAATTACTTCAAACCCATTTGAAATAGGATTAGAGTCAGCTCAACACGTTCTATCTTGGGCTTTGGGCTTTGATTGAATGAAGACTTGAAAAACTCAAGAGACTTTGCAATTTCTGCATAAACTTGGCTGATCAACGTCTTGTACGAAAATCTTCATAACACCATTTAGGAAACTTGGAATCACAGTCCGTAATATTCCTCTGAAAGCTAACATCCATATCTTTCCAATGGTATAAGGCTCAACAGCTGGTTCACTCTGAGGAAGTACAGTTTATTCCGTCAAGTTGGCTGATTTGCACATACAGTTTCTGCTTCCAAGACACATAACTCATTTCAATTGCAAAAGTGCTTCTTTTTCTTCTTTCTTCATCTTCACTCTTCAAATCTAAGAAAATCATAAAACTAAATGAAACAAACTAAATTCACTCAAAAATATAACAAAAATCTAAACTAAAAGGGCATTAAAATGTATGCAATATTGGTTGTATCAAGCACTAACACCAGGGTGCAAGATAATAAGCACTAAATGCATCTAAACATAACCATACACACTGAAATCCCTATCATCAACATGTACTCACCTGAAGCTTACCTGGGCGTCCGCAACGTCATTCAATATAAATATAATTCATACTAATGCAACATTTAAAGTATCACACATTTTAGATATGGCATGAAGTGCATGAATCAATTCAAAAGCATTTGTGGAAACTATCATTCATTCGTATATATACTATAAAAAGCAAAAGACCCACTCATCTGGAGTTCGCGCTACAACTCCCTAGCACGAATATCGAAGTGTCACGAACGATCAATGCCTAAAACAATTATCAAATCACATCTCAGAATTCTTATCGATAGAACATGTAACTTACGTAAAATAAATTCCTAAGGGTGTTCTAGAATGATTTGAGACCCATTGACCAAAAGTCAACCGTCGATCAAAAATTGACGGTAGGGTCCACAGCTCTACGTAACTCAATCCAGAAGATCCGCACCTCGGATTTCCAATCCGTAACTTTCCAAGATCCACATTAACTTCTAGAACAACATACTAAAGTTTCATTACGATCCCACAGTTGGATCCCCGCCAATTACAATTTCAAGTGGCGGTTAACGTTTTATTTTATGAACTTACAAATCCAATTCAGAAAGATCTGTATGCTGGATCCCCGATTCGTAAGTTCCTATGGTCCTCAAATATTACGTACTATAATGTACTAAAGTTTGGTGACGATCCAACGGTCTGATCGTCGATTACTATTCCAATCAAGTGGCGGCCCTCAATGGAATTTCGCCGGATTCTGCAAATTTTGCAGATTTCCTGAGCAATCTTTAGAACTTCATATCTCACTTGTTTCGCAACCAAATTCGACCCATAATTTCGAAGCTAGAGAAGTGTAGAAAGTTATACCTGCTTGGAGTCTAAATGGTCGCCGAAGATGGCGGTAAAATGGCCTGAAAGACGGTTGTCCGCGGGAAAACTAGAAAATTCGTCAGAATTTCTGGGCAACCTTTCAACATCCTTAACTTTGTCAATACTCAATGAAATCAAGTGATTCAAAAACGTAAATCATAATTCTCGACGAGATGAAGAGATTGGTACCTTTCATGATGGCTATATCGCCGTGATTTTTCCGGAAAATGACTCGAAAATGGCGGAGGTCGCCGGAAACTGCGCAAACTTTAAATCGTTATAACTTTCTCATTTCTCCACCAAATCACACGATCCAAACATGAAAATTCATCTACACAACATGAGGAATCGATTTATACCTGTTTTGAGTTCAAAATATGGCTGTAAATTGTCTGAAACTGAAGGGAAACCCACGGCTCCAATGAAGGTTCTTGAATTGGCATCCGTGCACAGTATTCCGAGAAACCAAAATTTGATTCAGGTTTCTAGGTCCGAGGAAAGTAAGAATATGGTGATTTTCAAGTCGTTAATTCGTCGGAAAGGTGGATTCATGCTTAAGTGTCACGGGGAGGGAGTTAAGGGCGAGAAAGAGATGTGAGCTGAGATGAGAGTCACGGGAGAAAGGAGAAGAGGAAAAGAAGAATCCAGAAAAATGGGGATCAATTTGTGGGTCCCACATGGCACACAACCAATTTCACATGTTCAATTGTCCATTTATCAAAATGTCCTCGATGTTTAAAGGTTCGTAGAATCTTTGTTATAACTTCAAATTATGTTCCATTTGCGCCAACCTGTTCGTAGCGACAAGTACTATGAGGATACGCCAAGAAAATGAGTCTTACGTGGCACAACAAGACGGTCAAACAAAATCAACGCATTTGCCACGAAGGGCATTTTCATAAATTCACTTATTAAAATTATAAAAACCGTAAAATTGGGAACAGGTTGTTACATCGAACATATTAGGTTTGTAACTTACTTTTTTGCTTTTGGTTTTGTTACTTATTTTATTTTGGTTGCATGTTAATTTGACTTGTCATGAATGATTGGTATTTCAATTTGTATAAAATTTGGAAATACCAAACCATCCCGAAATACCGAAAATTGGAAGTACTGAAATTTCGGTTCGGGATTGGTCTTTGAATTCTAGTTTCAAAAAATTTCGGTTTGGGATTCAGAATTGCATTTTCTGTTTGGGATCCCTTACCGAACCACCCCTAGGTAGGACACATTGATAAATATAGGTCACTTCTAGGGATGGGCAACGGTTATGACGGGTGGGTAACTGCGGTTATTTACACGTAACCGTTTATCCGTTGGGTAATTGCATAAATGGGTATACCCATACCTATTTATAAAACTGTTAACCGTACCCATAACCGCTTACCCATTTAACCGTAACCGTTTACCCATTTAACCGTAATCGCATATCTATTTAACCATAACCGCATATCTATTTACGCGTTTACTCATTCTTCACCCCGTTTACCTTTTTCTTTTATCCGTTTATCCTTTTTTTGAAAGAAAAAAAAATTGTTATAGAAACATTTAAAATGCATTTCGGTACTTAAATTTTAAAATCCTCATACTATTTTGGAAATTAAAATAATAGTTTACGGACGATATTAAAACCAAATAGTATCCTTAAGATGGAAAATGCAGGCCTTTCAATATCTTCTAACCAATAAACCTAACCACAAATTGTTCCTCTTCTTCATTTGATTTCCAATTGGCGCCCACAATCCTAAATCCAAAACACAATAGGGCAGCAGGGCTAGTGTATATCTTTTTTTTTTTAATAGACTTTCATAAACTTTTCATAGGTAAAAATTTTAAGGAAGCATTAATAAAAACGGATTAGACCAAGACTATTTTAATAAAAAATCATCCTATAGTTTTATTTAATAAAAACATTTCAAAATTAATCATAACGATAAGAGCTCCAAATTCTACACGGACTAGATTATAGAGCCCAACATAAATAAAATTAAGTTTCTAAAATTACTGCAGCAGAAAGAAATCCCAGCCCTTAGCAGAAAGAAAACCCAGCCCTTAGTTAATTTTGTTTAATAAAAATCAGTTAAATAAAATTAAAACAGAAAAATAATGTAAATCTTAATGAAATATTTTTAATACTGTTCACTTTTAACATGAAAGACATTTTTATATTAAAAAGTCATTTCTAATACTATTTATTTATAATATTTTTTATCATTTTAATTAAAACTAAAAATATTCAGAATTTTAGTTAGTTTCGTAAAAATAATAGCAAAAAACTTGATGAAGGCTTAAATATCCCCAGCGACCGATTCCCACCCCCAACGGTGACTCACTTTCGATCTACAACGACGACGAGGATCTCAGCTTCCTCGAAGACGCCACCGACCAACCAGATCCGGACCAATACGACGACGATTTGGGAACTTCTCCGATGTCGACGACAACGGGTACAGGAGAAGATGGCAGCCCAAGACTCCTGGCTGGGTTGATGCTAGTTCAAATGATGGGTTGTAGGCCAAGTGCACCAACGATGAATCCAATAGGCAACGGAGCCAAAATCGATCAAAACCCATAAAAATTCACTACCAATCAACAAAAAAACCAATCAAACCCCAACAAAAACAATTAAATTCACAAATTTTATCTCAGTTAAAAGGATCCTCACCAAAAGGATCCGGAGAGGATCCTGTTGGCTTGCACAGACCCCATATCGACAGAAAGGGAGAAAATGCAGGATTGGCACTGGCCTGCTCACGTCCCCAAATCGAATCCACTGGCGTCGACAAAGACCCATCGACTCAGCCACCACCGGCCATGGCTGCGATCTTAGCTCGGAAATTTCTCCAGGCTCTCCGCGTCAGACAGCTCGTGAGTTTATCCTCTGCCCTAACCCGCCTTTTCTTATCCTCCGTTTGGATTCCGATAAAATCCGGAAAAATTGAATTCCAAGTTTGAATTTGGTTGTTACCGGTGAATATTTCGAATCAGCTAGCCCACGCTGCATAGCAACAAATTACAGGACCACAGCGCTTTCTTTTTCTTTAGGTGTAGAAATTTAGATTAGAAAGCTGGTTTTAATGGACTATAATTAGGGAATTTGATCGATATTGTGGATAAATTTTCGTGTTGATGTGTTGTTAGTTGGCACTTATGAGCTTGTTTAGTAATTGCTTTATGTTTCTCATCTGATCAGATGTTTCTGACTTTGGCATTTGCATTGTATGTAGCTATATTTTTGGATTCCTGTTTGAATCTGTTCAATGCAAGTAGGAAAGGAAACGGACTCTTTCTCGTTCGATTCCATGATTGGTATTACTTGGAGTGATTGAATTTGGATCCTATTTAGCAAAAAAAAACATAGTGATGAATTATTGTAGGACCAATCTTTGGTTAGGAAGTTCCTCTAGACCTGCCCTCAGAAGAATTGCAACTTAGTTTTGTATCGGTCGAGAGTCGACAGTATTAGTCAATTTCTCAATGGAACTGTTGAGGGGAGTCTTTGGATTGCTGCTTAAACCTTCATTACGACCGTAACAGCCATTGAAACTCACCTAAAGAGCTTTCTCTATTACAATTGTGGTACAATTGAACCTGACAGGTATTCTTGTGTTTTGCTAACGTTGAGGAAAGTAGATGACGTTTAAATTCTTTAAATTTGAAAAATAGCTGAATATATAATTATTTTGAATTAAAAATTTAGTTACTAGTTATTTCCACCGTAGTAACAACCTCTGTGTTGAAAATTTGTATTAATCTGGCAGCCCTGATTGCAAAGACTTCAACTTTTTCGTGGGACTTGACGGTTTGGTCTGAGATGGGTAAGCCGGAAAATTGGGACTTGACGGTTTGGCCTGAGATAGGTAAGCCGGAAAATGGGGTAGATGTCGCCGCCCAACCTATAAGTTCTTCTCCATAAACATCACCTTTCTCAAGATATGCAGTGCTTGACGAGCCACTTTCGCCACCAGTAGTTCCAGTCTTGTAAGCAAGTGCAATGCCCTGCGTGATGAAGAGCATCCTATCTAGTGGCTCCCCCTCTCGAATAATATAGGTACCATCAGCATAGCTTACTGGCTCAAGATCCTCCATGATTGCATCCAACACTTGTCTGTCCTTGTTTTCAAGCCCTGGCAACTGGGGTTAATTCATACATGTAATTAGAAATTTAAGACTACATCGATAAGATCCAATAAGCAACATCATTTTACTAAGACGGATGATAATCAACTGTTTAAAAGTAGACTCACGAAAGCACGCCTAAAGAACTCAAAGAGGAGTTCATGCTCCTATCTATACAATAGCTTGAATTCGTTAACTAGATTATTCGAAAAACCATCTACTGCCACAGGTTTATAGAGCACTAAATAGAGCTATGCATATGGAGAAATTGACAGAGATGGGACATTAGGAATTTACTTTCGTTAGTGTAGGTGTAGCCAAGAAGAGATGGCACTTCAAACGTCTCTGAAGTTCCCAAGGAAGTAACGAGAAGATATTCTCTGCAGCACGACCTTCGTCCTCTTCAAGTGCTTCGATTACCAATTCCCAAATTGCATATTCTACCCTCTTTTCAAGACCATATTCAGATACCATGAACTTTATTCGTGGATCTATGACTCGCATCCGCTGCCAAATCTGAGATGTTCTGCTAATTGCCTGCATAAATGTCTACACCACAACATGGAGGTTTGAAATTGAGTTTATTAAATCCTGAAATTTACATGCATTTATGTAGAAACTACTCAAAAGAAAACCAGATATAAAAAATATAATTCATCACCGACTTGCACATGTCCAAGCAGATACATGAATAGTAGCAGGCCACTGATCGAAATAGAAATTACAAAGGCGCTTTCCCATGCATTGGTACTAGAGTTGAGGTTTGAAGCAAAAGAACTGCAGAATTCATTGGAGCAATATATTAAAACAATATTTGAAAAGGGACAACTCATTGGACGGCTTGCGTGACTGAATCTTGATAGTTAAACGTCGGCACATCCCATGCACTAGTGTATTCGTGTGAATGATGCAATATCTAAGAATAAAAATACTTATGTAGGACAAACCTCAAATTTCGTAAGCCCCACGACAAACACATCAAGAGTTTTTGAGGAAAATCTGTTGTTCCCACTATGCCAGACTGAAGACTGTCAACGAATATGCCAAAATCGTATGCCATTGGATTTGGTGGATTTGTTGGACATAAATCATTTAGAAGTGTGACGTTTTTGAACGGAGTATTATCACATTGTAAAGTTCTTAAGTTGCATCCATTTTCACTTCGACAAGTAGAGATCCAACAATCTATCTCTCGCTGAGCAGAAAAAAAGTACCAAAATGCCCCAAGTACCTAACAAACCAAGAACTACATTTGTAACTCAACGATATTTACAAGTAACTTAGGGAGTAGTTAAAATAAACTAAGATAAGACAATAACTTACATGGCTAGCAAGGATGTACATGATGAAATTTAATACACCCGAAATCCATATTTGCTTTCTCCTATCAAGTACCTTGCGACTTTCACGTGTTTCCTTGTTAAAGTCCTTGCATACTCTGTACATTGGATAAGCTCGTGGAACATATTGCAATAGAATAAGTGAGTTCAAAAACTTCATTCTATTCAAAGATCTTGAGTTCCTCGTTTTTGGAAGGAAAATTAGAATTACGATCTGTACACAAATGCAAACCAATAGCTAAACTTAAAAGAGTTGTGTGACAGAATCAGCAAAATCAAATTATCCTAATTCCTCATATATGACTTAATAGATTACGAAAAATAATTTACCCCATAAAAGTAATTGGCTTACTTGTGGAATAGGAAGAACAGCTAAAATGTTATACATTCGGCATTCGGGTATGACGTCATCTAGGAGATCTTCCAGAATGTACGATGTGCACCAGGTAGGCAGCACATCACGGAGGAGGTTAAGTAGAAAAGGGAGATCTGTAAATGGTCGCAAAACAATAGCTATAATCTTTAATTTATCGTCTAACGCGAGACACTTGATATTTTCATTGATGATGGGAACGTACAAGAACAAAGTGTCCAGAAGGATAGGGCCGATCAAAAATGCAATCGCAATAAATTTAGCAAATTTATCCAATTGTTTGGACCAGTATGATCTATCTCCTCCATCTGTCTTGCCATACTTCCCTTTTGCAAGCTTTATAATTTCATCACCTGACATCCTGAACAATTAATACACAAGAATTAAACATGCAAAATAAAATCCTATTTGGAACAACCATATTGATCTGATGCAAAAATCCTTTGTTTTAATTTTAAAAGGAAAAAAAAAATGGAAAAACCTGTTAGAGATATTAAAAAAAATATGATACCCTGTAAGGTTGATTGACTCGTCATCTGAGGGCTCTATTTTTTGAATGGGTTCATCAGACTCCATCATAACTTAAGCTTACTAAGTTATGATGCGTACAAGATTTTCTAAACTCTGAATGATCTTGAATGAGGAGCTTCTTGAAATTACGACAGAGTACATATGTTAACTACAACCGCTACAAGATGGAGTATAAGTAGGCTAGGGGTTGAATGGACAAATTAAGAAGCTAGTTTGCTATGGTTTTGGAAATATGCAAATGAAGATATCATGCAGCAAATCCAACTGAAATTTAAGATCAAGCATATATGGCTTTTAGGCAAGTCGTTAGATTTATAATGGTCGATGGGGTCTTGGTCGTTTCCCAATTACGTACCTTTTCCCATGTGTAATTGTGCTCAACAACCAGAGAAATACATGGGGCCACTTGCCAACTGTCCCGGACAGCGGATGAAATGCGAATGGGATCTTGTCATTTAGACCTGGTTTGGTACTGAGGTGATTCTGAAAAAAGCTGCTATAAAAAAAAGCTGGGAGCTGTTTTTGTGTTTGGTAAACACTCAGCTTCAGCTTTTTTTCACAGTTTTGGATGAAAAAAAGCCAAAAACAAGAAGCTGCAAAACCTAGCTTTGAAAAACCGGCTTTTTTCACATCTGTTTTACATAAAAATTTACCAAACACTCTAATACTGCTTTTTTTTTTCAAAAGCACTTTTACAAAAAAGTTTACCAAACACTCTGCTGCTTTATTTCACAGCTGCTTATTCTCACAGCACAGCAAAAGCAGCTTTTTTTCAAAGCACAGCAATACCAAACCAGCCTTCTTATTTATTTCGCATGGAATGGTTGCTTCAGCCGAACTATAAATTTTTGGATTCCAAGTGACGAGTTAAGGTCAAATTGGATTTATGGTCTCCGTGATGATAAGGTATTCGGAAAATTGTCCATGTGATAAAAAAATTAAGATTTAAACTTTTGTGGTTAAGGTTATTAACAAATTTAACCCAAATATGAGATTTCTGTTAAACCTCAGTTAAATGTAGGGATAAAAGTGTCCAACCACTCTTTCTTTTTAGCCTTCTTCTCTCTTCCCTCTTTCTGTCTCTGTAATCTTAAAAACGTAGGAATAACATTATTCGAATGCTGGGGTGAAGAATAGATAATCATAGAGGTCAGAGACCCAGATTTTGAACCCAGATTTAATCCAAGATGCTGCCTACACCCTTTGACCCGGTGCCTACACTCTTGGACCTCTACGAAGGTAGTAATTTCCCTCTCGACCTGCGTTTCAGAGGTGCCGCCTTGAGCAATAATTTCCCTCCGCTTCCGCTTCCGCTTCCGTTGCCTTGTAGACTCCTTCACTCAAAGAAAAGTAGCAAATTTGGTGCCCAATTGCTCTCGCCCATTCCTAACTTTTGAGGTGCCTTGAGCATTATCACCATCACCATCACCATCACCGACAGCATTCAACCCCCTGAGTCTAGAACGAAAAACACAAAAAAAATTATTTTCTTCAATCCCAAATTTGAGCAAGTTTAAATTCATATCCAATTGCCCATGCTGGGGTGAAGACATTACTAGCAACAGATTACCAATAAACTGAGCTAATCTTACCTCAATTTTCAAAGGTTGTAGCTCGATTCCATTAGAGCAACTCTCACCGAGAACCGCTGCTTGGATTCTCCTACTTCCCATTACATAATTTAACATGCAATGGTACCATAGGGATCCCCAGGTTGCGCAGGTCTTGTATTTGGTGGTTTGGGGTCTCAATTTAATTGGAATTTGCGGTGATAGTGCTTGGAGGTCTCTTTGGCTATGGTGGTTTAGAGAGAAGGCAGAGAGTTCGAAAAGAGAGAGAGAGTCCGATAAACTGTTCAAATCAAGCATGTTGTCATCGGAGCCATTGGTAGAATGCAGCCTCACCGACGAAAGGTTAAGGCGCTCGTCAATGTGAACGGTGCAGACGTTGTGGAATTGGCGGCGAGGAGGCCGACGATGAGGTCCGGGCTGCCGATGGTGCCGATGCAGAGGGCGGTGTTGCTGAGGCGCTAGAGGGCGAGCTAGCGCTTGCAGACGAGGGAGCAGGCATCACGGTTGGGCTTGGAGTCAAGCCGCCGGAAGACCTCGACGATCAGCTCGCGTGGAGGTTACACAGACAGAGAGAGAGGAAGATAAGGCTAGCAGAAATAAAGAGTAGTTGGACATTTTTATCCCTACATTTAACTGAGGTTTAACAGAAATCGCACATTTGGGTTAAATTTGCTAATAACCTTCACCACAAGGGTTTAAATCCTAATTTTTTTTATCACATGGGCAATCCTCCGAATATCCTATCACCACGGGGACTATTAATCCAATTTGGCCGACGAGTTAAATCATACTAGAGTACCTACTAAGTAATGTTAGAGAGATCACATCTTAAGAGGCCACATTATACCAGGTAGGGGCTGGAAAAATTTCCAAAAATTCCAAACCAAACCAAAAAAATCCTGATCTTAAACTAAAAATGTCCCAAATCAAAATTTCCAAAAATTTTAGGATGACATACCGAACCGATCTCAAAATTTCGGTACGGGAATTGGTATTGCCTTCTCTATGTTTCGATAATACCATACTGAATCGAAAATAAATATTACATATATATATATATATATTATATTTAAGCTTTTCTTTTTTCTTTTGGTTTGGAACTTATTTTATTTTGGAACTATAGTTTGTAACTTTTTTTTTTTTTTTTTTGGCTTTTGTTACTTAACTTATTTTATTTTGGTTGCATGCATTTTGAAATTGAATGTTGAATTCAAGTACTTAAAAAAGGACATTTGAATTGTCGCAAACTACTAGTAGCAATATAATTGGTGTGGTTTATAGGTAGTAACCATAGCTCTTTACTCTATTTGTTCAACGCTGCCATCCAACTCTAGGATTTCCAGAATTTTAACTCCGCCATTTGGTCTAAGGTAGCAACCATAGCCTTTTATCGCCACAACTGCCGGTATGAACCTCCCACACACATTCACCCTGCAGTGTTGCTTCTTGACCATATGTGTGACACACCCCAACCGAAATCAAGACGTGCTGGCCGTCACGTGAGGGTGACATAACCATGTACACAGTGCAGAAGCAAAAGATAATAATAAAAGTACGAATAAATAAAAATCAAACTACTAAATAAACTAGTTAAAGTAACACACTAGTGCGAGATTAAGTGTGATAAACATAGTCAGAGCACAAAAAACCTAAGTGCAGTCCAGAAGAACGAATACTAAATACACAACACCCAAAGGTGATCCTATATTTGTGATGTTCTGTCAGAACCACCGACAAGTCCTCGTGAACCACCAAAGCTGCTTCTAACTAGAACCTGGAGGGGCGCAAAACAGAAAGTGTGAGTGCGCAAAAACAAAGCTTTTCAAAATCATTTCATTATCAAAAGTTCTAACCCCTCGCTGTAAAACCTGTATAGTTTCCTAGAAAATAGAATATACACATATATCGAAAACATGTTTAGAAATATGCCATGTCAAATGCTTCAACATACAGTGTGAGTAATCCAGGTAAAGTCAGTCAATATAAATAACATGTTAGCTAGAGTCACCTAACGTGACCTGTACGGCTGAATCTAGAGCTCAAATCCCTAACTCACTAAATATACCTGCACACGAGTCGGAACCACCTAAAGTGGTCTGTACGACATGACTGGGTGTAAATAAATACGCTCAAGTGCTACGATCACATGAAGACTGGGCGAATAATCGATGGTCACCTACGAGTCGGAACCACCTATAGTGGTCTGTACGATATGACTGTGCATCTACCTTGGATCTAAGATGAGCGTCTGGTACGGGAGGTGAACATCACGTGAAGGATTGTGCCCTACTCTGGACGGGAGCACTAACACCGGGGGTG